CACATACACACAGAAAAATACTCCCATAAAAATCTTACAAAAGCTTTTAAAGTGGTCATGTTCGAATACACCTAAAGATAAAAAAAATCTGTTATTAAAAAAACACAAGTACCATAGTCTAAAAACAATCATTGCATAGATAAAAGAACAAAATCTTGCTTGCAATGTCCAAATTACACCAAATCATGTAGATTTGTTATATTTTTCTTTTAAACATGATTAAAAAAACACAACATGCAGGGAAAATAGGCGCTTCTGTGATCCTCAGAGCWGTTTGTTCACTTAAATTATGGGAAATGTTAAAAATAAAAACAACTACATATAAAATGTTTTGATTTGTTCAGAAWAGGCCACGCAGGAACAGTCGGAATGGTTATATCTAACTGTACAAAACACTACAGGTGGAAAAGCCTATCACTTAGCCTTTTTTCCCTTTCCCAACTAATTTACAGTTCACACAGGTAACAATGTTTTGATGTCTGTAAATTTCTTATCGTGTTTCATTTATCTACAAGTCATCAGTGTCACTTTTTTTTCCCTTTTCTCAGTCTTTAAATTGCTGTTTCTTTTCTCAGTCAACATCTCTCCAGGTCTCCGGTCCCCTCCTACTTACTCCGTTGTGAACCAATCATCACTTTGGACACAAAGTTGACGATGGCACTGGCGGGCTGCTCAGGATCGTGTTCCGCAAACAGGTGACATATGTTGTCCGTGGAAGTGCCAGTTTTCCTCGCCACAAAGCCGAAGATTCTGCGAAGATGGAAGCAAAGCACTTAATAGCAGCACTGTCAAGCTCCCCATTTAAAAATAGCTGGGTAACAAGCTGCAGCTGTGACCATGATCATTATTTACTTACTTTGCTGAAGGGTATCCATCTTTTTTCCACCTAAGAGCAGAAATAATGTCAGCAAAGAATTTAGACCAAAATAACACCAAATCTAATTAAAGGATGACGTAAACTATAAAAAGAAAAAAAAATATGCGCAGTTGTTAAAAACAGTACTCACTTTCTATCTTGAGGATCCAGAGCACAAAATATAACTGTATTGGCATTGTAATGGCGCCTGAAAAAAAGCCTGAAAACAGACAAATTTAGGATTAAGTGACCTTTGAGTGAATCGTTTATGGCCAAAACCCATTTCAGTCATTCTCCTAAAATATTCAACCTTACCGCTACAATTAGCGCCAGATTACAGAAAATAAAAAAGTCAAATATTCTGTTTAACCTCCATCTCTCATCACCTCTATTTAAGTTACACTACGTACGTGTTATTGGTACTTTATTTGGTGTTTTATTMTTTTGTTTTTACTGCATTTTAGATTATATTTTATTGTACAGTGCTATAAAAAGAATCTATATATAAAATATTTTAATAATCATATTATTGTTTTTTGTTATTATTATTAATATCAGAGAAGAAGATTACATTTTTTTGACTGAGCATGTTGACTATGCCACAAATGGTCCAAATAGGAAATGGAATATTTGTTTCCTGTTCATTATGGCTGTGTCCAAAACGGCAGGACGGGTCCTCCGAAGTCCGAATTCGTCGGCCGCATACGTCACAGCGCCGCGACGAAGGACGTCCAAAACCGAAGACTCCTCCGATGCGGCCGACAAATACGTCCTTATTTTTCCCCGATTTGAAGGACAGGTCTGATGGATCCTTCCCGGCCCAGCATATCCCATAATGCATTGCGGCCTGACCGGAGATTTGTTTAAGCTAGTAATGGCGGACGAAGCGAGATAAAAGAATACGTTTTAAATAAAAATATGGTGATATGGAAATTTAAAAAATTAGCGGTTGTAATTCTAGTACTTTTATCATTTGTATGGACATGTTTTTAAATATTATTTTTATCATTAAAAAAAGCGAAATAAACATGCACCTACAGCGGATCAATTAGTTCTTCAAATGTTACCTTTAAGTAAATTTTATAGTTTTGTGATATTAATAATGGTAATGTATTGATATTTTTCTAGTTTTGATTTAAGTTTGTTTGTTTAGCGTCGTCACAGTTGCTAGGTGACATGACGTACGCCGGGGTAAGGAGGGGAGGCTAGACCGTCCAAATTCACAGCCTCTTTTTTTCCGGTCTTCCCGGTCTACCAAGGACCCGGCCCACCGCGACCGGGGAGTCTGGGTCCTCCAGAGGACCCGGCCTGTCGTTTTGGACACAGCCTATGTGTCCCTTTGATTGCTTTAAGTCTATCCCAGAACTTATTTTCTAAATAAATAAATAAATAAATAAAATAAAAAAATAAAATAAAATAAAATAAAATAAAATAAAAATAAAAAAACACCTTGTATATAACAAGATATATACATATTTTGACAGGACATCCGATGCATTTGCTTCTTGATTGGGTGACAGTGGAATATTAAAGCTGCAACTCTTTATTACATTACGATAAGAGCYAAAGGGTAAGTGTACATATGGAAAGGATAGATGTAGGTGTTACGCTATAAAACTGGATTTGCTGGAAAAAKGGTGTGTGCTGTACTCACTTCCTCTGGTTGTCCGTCAGGGTGATTCCCTGAGACGACACTTTGAAGTGGACCACCGTGGAGTTCGGTAGAGGGTCTGCATCCAGGATCATAGTAGTGGCTTTCTGCACAGCCTGGACCCCCGTGAGCGACTCCATCTCCACTGAGCCGAGGTACCACACGTTACAAGCTGTGGCATGAACACAAATCAAATGCCACTTGGATTCGCTTTGTACAAATCGCTGCAGAGTGTGCTTCATGACAAAAACACAGAGCAAGAAAAAAAACCCCAGCTATTTTCAAAAACCAGCCCCAGAAATACAAGGACTGAGTTAAGTGTTTATTTGCAGTCTCGTCTTCTTGTGTTTGACTTAATGACTGTTCTTAGTGAGTGATGTAAGACGCCTGATTACCTGCACCCTGTTTCAGCAGCTCAGCAGCTGAGTTTGTGACGGACTGCGAAATGTTCTCCACGACATCTTCAAAGGGATCTTATGAAGAAATTAAAAAAAAAAAAAACAGCAGCAATCAACAACTACACGATCMCACTGAACATCAGACAAAAAAATAACGGTAACAACCTTCTTCAATAAATGATGAGTGTGTGAATGCTTACCTCTATCAGGTATAATAAGTTTACAGGGAAGGGCCAGAGGTGTGATTGAATGCTGGCAGACCAAAGCTGTTAAGCTTCCTGTAAAAGATTAAAGGGAAAATGAAAAAAAAAAACAAGATTATACTTTCTGCAAAGTTACAAAACACTGATACAAAACCAGGGAAATTCTAAACATTAAAGAAAAGTTGTGAAACATCAGCTCTGAAAGTTGAAATCCTAAAATGATTCCATATAATTTTTAATAGCTCCTAAAAATCAACTGTCCTCATTCATTCAAGATAAACAAATATACAATTCAAACTATAAAACCTAGAAAGATGTGCTAACGTGATTGATGTCTGTTTGGATAACTCTGGCCCACAGCARACCGCTGGTACACAGCATGGTACACCAACAGAGGGCAGCATCAGTCATAAAGTCTTGATATTTTGCTGTCGAGGAGCCAAAGAGACAGATGGAGATGGACTCCAGGTTTTCAGCAGCAGGTACTCACCAAAGTAGGGTTCGTTGGGACAACCCTTCAGCCGCACTCCCTTCGGCGTGCTCTCGATCAGCAAGTGGCGCACCAGTTCGTTGGACAGATCTCCTCCTGTCAGATAAACAAAAACGATCCATTCTGAAGATTTACACAGAACATATTAAAGTACCACATTCAATTTGTCCAGACATTAAGCGGGAGATGATTCAACACAACCACCACCTTTGTTCTCCACATGAGGAATTTTGAGGCAAAAGCTTGTTTCTCAAAGTGGGTTGGATTATTATTATTATTATTTTTAATTTCACTTTTAAGGAACTGCAAAAGCTCCAAGCGCAAAGTGAGGCTGTGGGCTTTGAGGTGACGTCACCACAGGTGCTGCTGGATCGCAGAAGGGTGACAGCAAACAAAAGGACAGGTGTGAGTGAAGAACAAAACCGTTTGACTGAACAAAGAGTTCGGTTGGTCCAAACGGGGATTTTCTGTTGAGCAAACTGATAGTAAAAAGTGGCGTCACAAATACAAATCCATTGGTATGTCGCTAAAATGAAAACATTAACATTAACCTCCTAACAGTAATATTGTAAACTAAAAACCAGGATGCTTGAAATTAAACCTAATAATCTGAAAAAAAAAGGCTGATTTAAAAAATTGTCATTTTTAAAAATATTTATTTTCTGTTCTCATCATTCACCACGTTTTTTAATATCTAGACAAATAAGCTGTGTATAGTAAAAAAGTACATTTACTTTGTTGCAGTGCAGTAAGTTGTATTGAGTAAGTTTTTTTTACAATCTGTTTTTTACCAAATATTTTTTAAATAGCAACTTTTACTTTTATTTTGTTACATTCAAAACATAAAAAATATACTTTTACTTGCATACGTTAAAAACCTAAAACGCTTCATTACGCTGTACAAATTTGATAATGAACAGAGCTCATTGTTTATGCACTCTAAAACATTAAGTGTTGAATTTATTTAACCAAGTTATGTCAATCTGTTCCACTAAACCCAGTTGAGTAAATGTAAAGCAATTTACACGTTAAAAAAAATATAAATAAAAATGTGTAAATTGCTGACATTTGCTCAATTCGATTTAGTGGAACCAGTTAACATAACTTGTTTAAGTAAAATAAACACTTCATTTCTTAGAGTGTGTGTAAAAGTGCTTTTATTTTCCAACTTATTGTTGTTTATGGACTTTTATGACTTTCTCAAGTTATTTTATTGCAAGTGAAATTCATGTTTGTTCAGGTATTTTTACTTGGTTATTTCTGTTTTCCAAGTATTTTATACACCTTTGTATGAAAGACACTGTAAACTTTTATTGATTTTTATTATCAACGCCTGAAAACCTATATGCTAGTAGCAAAAAAAAGGCAATAAACGAATTGTGACGCTTCGTTTTCTGTGATTTCACCGTAAATGTGTTCACAGCAGCTCTGCTTATAATTCTGGTTGTCTAGATTCATTCAAATAATCATATTACCAGAAAGTGTTGGTAGATTAATAGAAAAAAGTCCCACCTGCTAAACTGAAGTTCAATCCAAGAAGAAAACAACCAGTAATGTAACCCATGTTGACCTTACCACTAGAATACAAGCTGTACATTGAACAGAGATATGTGGGGCAGTGAGCTTTCCTAAAGAATGCCCTGGAATCAGAACAGGCACGTCCTTTGTTAAGAGCTGAAACACTAGCTGCACATCTAAGACTATCAGGGCAGCAGGAAGCTGGTTTCATAAAGGTGAAGCCCAGGAGAGATCCACAGAAGGATGAGAGTTCAACACAAAAAGACAAAAAAAAAAGCAGTCTCAGGTTCCTTTGTGAATAAATTACCCATTTACAGCAGGCTGTAATAGAAAATGTCTTCAGATGTGACTGAGTCACTCACGAATCCCAGGATGTTTGTAATTCTGGACTAATCTTTGACATCTTGACCATGACGTTCACAATTACAGAGCTGGAGTCAAGGGGATTTTAGCACAAAGTAACACGATTTAAAGCAGTCGTTGAAATAAAAAGYTACCCAGGAGTCAATTTACTGTAAGGTTTATCAAACAAAAAAAACAGCACTTTTCTAAACTTTTAACCCAACGATTGGATAGTTTTATATTTAAGTCAAACACACACACACACACACACACACACAAAAATAAATAAATAAATAAATAAATAAAAATAAAAGAGTGGTTCTATCAAAAACAGAACTGTTTGCAAACTGTGTGTAAATTACCTTTTTTGCTCTGCTGGAAAACTGAGGGAGGGGGTGTTGCCACCTTCATGGCCAGACCGTACGCCCCCTTAAAGGAATGGCTGTCTCGCACAATAAAGCAGCCGGGCTCCTTGTCCTTCAGGACTGAAATAGCTGAATAAGGAGGAGACATACTGACTGTCAGCTGACAAAGTTTTAATGTGAAACAAAAGTGAAAAAAAAACAAACAAAATAAAATAAAAAGTTGAAACCCACCTTGGTCCCTTGAGATGTCTGGTTTGTACCAGAATTTTGACGTGTCCTGCACAAACTTCACAGTAACCTGCTTGTTCACTAGTACGTCTGGAAAACAAAGCAGTCACTCATGAAGGTGTATGTCTACGCATGCTAATCGAGACCCTGGACGCAAACAAAGTGATTAGGAGTTATTTATTTACCTGGCAGAGGCGAGGCTGGGCACGGCGTCTGAGCCGACAAGTCAGGTAAGACGTTGGGGAAAGGGATGCTCAGAGAGCTCCCACTGTGCGGACTTGAGAACCCGCTGAGGGCAGGAGAGGCTGTTCCCAGAGAGTGCTCGCCGTCCGACGCTCGCTTCTTTTCCGGCAGCAGCGGGGGCTGCACCTGGGGGGTCTGCGACCGATGCTGCCCTTCACCGAAGGAGAAGTGATCCCTGTCGACGCCCGCGGCCGGACAGTCCGTGCCGTAGCCGAGACCCGAGCCGTCCTGCTCGTCGAAGCTTTGAGCGGAACTACGGCCGATGGCGTAGCAGGCCATGCGGCTCCGCTGGCTGCTTCGGGGAGAGCTGTGGGCATTGGGGGCAGGGTGGGTGTGGGAGCGGGGTAAAGGAGGAGAGTGGTGACCGTAGTCCAGAGACACGGAATGTTGCGGTGGTTGTCGGGCACAGGGGTAGTTACTCAAGGAGGCGTGGCGGCTCAGGACAGAGTGCTCTGGCCAGGACTGATTCACAGAGGAGCTTGACRTATAAAAAAACAGAAGGTAGTCAGAATGACTAAAAAAAAATCCTTTCTTTTGTGAGAAAACCACAACTAATGTTGAGGTAAATCAGGTCTCTACCTGTCTGCGTGCTGATGGCTTCCAACAACTGAGGCAGAATGTGTAGAACTCAGCATCCTGTGGCAGCTGATGGAGGAATCTGGCAACGTCTCCAACACTACATGATTGATGTCACTGTATCCTCGAGGTTCTGTGAGGGGGCCAAGAAATAAGAGAGAGAGAAAAAAGAAAGTTACAGTCTGTTGCAGGACATATTTGCTTGATAGTACTGTGTAAATCTACTGACGTTCAGTGAAAATATATACTAACAAACAAAAGTAGGGAGAGTTTTAGAAAAGAGAGTTTCTAAAAATGTTTAACATAAACCAATGTTTCAGCAATTAGCAGAACTGAGGAGGAAAAAAAGTAACATTTTTAGTCCTTGGACTGGCCAATATGGAGTTGTGATGCAATAAAAGTGCAAGTACAACTGGCGGCCCACGGGCCGCATCCGGCCCACAAGTGACCAAAGTTCGGCCCACCAATTGGTTTATTAATTTCTTAAGCCCAAACTCCCGGTTTTCTGCTTTAATTACCCTAAGTGCTTTTGGGTAAACATAGACATGTTTGGTATCAACAGGAACGTCAGAATCTTCGCTAGAAGCTGGTAAAAACCAATTCAGTGAACACCCAAGACAGTTAAAACTACAAACAGTTGAAGATAAAACTATGAAATTCAATAAAATTAGTTAAAAAATTTGGCAAGTCAGAGATGTCAAAGTAATTGTGTTAAATRGGATGCATAATGTGTTATTTTTGTTGTCTATATTGTTTTACTAACACTACATTTAATACATAGGGTTCTGTATGTTGTTTTCATGATTAAAYGCAGCAAAATAAACTATTTCAAAGGTAACAGATCTTTGTAATACTTGGTTTATTTGCACAATAACTTTAATGGATGTTCGGCCCCTCAGCTGTTGGCCTGCAGTAACTGTGGCCCCTGGAGCAATTTAGTTGAATAGCCCTGCAATAAAAACTCTTCAGATTACATTGTACTTATTGTAGCTCTTCAAAACTCCAATACAATGTAAATACAGCCCTGCTACAACAAATCAAGACAAAAGCAAATAAAATGATCTAAAAAAAACTTTRTTTAAATCAACCATAATCTGGAGCCATCAACTTAAATGAAAAAGCTTTAGTTTTACATCAAGTTTTGCGAAGCTGATAAGTTGCTGAACTACTAGACACTTAAGGAGCAAGGACTGTTTTCTTTTTGTACCACGATTCCTGAACTCTGTCACCATGGAGCTGCAGCTGAAATGAATGCTGGGATCCTTGCCTGCATGTCTGAGGCACAGCGAGGGGCACAGACCTGCGCCCAGACCCCACAGCCTCTCAGGCATACTGTAAAYCTCCATGGAAACAAATGAATAAAAGGTGATAAAGGAACTCAAAGTAAAGCTTGTGTGCGTGTATATGTCGGGGTGGGGTGGGGGGGTAATTTCAAGCAAAACATTACAAACTGGTAACAAAAAGAATGCACAGTTTAAAGACTCCTTCACTCCATGAGAATTTGGASTTTATAACTCATTCAGTCTAGCTGAGGTGCTGCACAGGGCTTTACAAACCCAGGGTGTGTTTATCCTTAAATTAAAACCACAGAGGGAAGGAAAAAAATCAATAAAGGAAGAATACGGTACATTTTTAATCTATAAAAAACAATGGAGTTGTATTTAAAACTGTTTTTCCTACAAACCAAAACCACACAGGCATTCCAGAGAAGGGTTAGGAATCTCCCTGCTTTTGCGCAAGAGCTGTCTTTGTTTTCAACCTCTGTCCTAAAACATTGCAAAACAGATATGCTTATGTCACCTTAAAAGAATATCAGTATTACTAAACGAAGGCAAAATGAACCCAAAATGCCCTGCTGTAATGGTAGGAACATGACCGACAAACAAAAATAACCTAAACTCTTTCAAGTATCAGCATGAAGGAGAAAACATAAAAACAAAACTAAATAAAACAAGTTTTTGTTTGGGTTTAAGAATTGTGAACCTACCATGATTTGTTCTGTAGCCTCCAAAAGACTGCATGCTGGGAGATGGAGTTTGTCTATGATCTGTCAACTCTGACATACTTTTCACTGGAATGACAAAGAGCACACGGTCATGTAGGATCAAACATAAAAACCTGGGTGCTATCATAGACCCAGGCATTTAGCTAGAGCAGTGTCAGGGCGTAGTTTCATTGTCCCGTTTGGTTTTCCCCCCTTCACCTGGGGATGACTCCGGATGCTCTCAGGGCACTGTGCCGAACCTTTGTTGCTTATTTTTTACACTACGTAAATTTTGTAAACTTCCGTAAACTTGGTAAGCAGAAAGCAGGTAACTGCAATAATTTTATGAAGACAGCAGAGGACACACAAAGATTAAATCAAACCAGCTTGGATAGACATGAGTAGGAAATTTAACAGCTTCAGTAGTTGTTGTTGTGTATCGTTTGTCCATAACTTTACACAAAATTTGTCCACTTCCCTAAATTTTGTAAGAGGTGTGAGGGTGAGCGCAGTTATTTTATGAAAACTCAAAGAATACATTGAAGCAGCTTGGATAGAAGTTGGTAGTGATGTTGTAGCTTCAGTAGCTGTTATGCGTTGTTTTCACAAACTCTGCTCCCGGTTTGTCCGCAACGTTACACAAATTTTGTAAACTTTGTAAGCGTCGGATGGGGTGACTGCAATTACCGTATTTATTCATGTATAATATGATCTCATGTAAAATACAACCCCCCCTTGAGCTTAAAAAGCATAAAAAACTGAATCCTTAAACTACCTCCAATTTCATACAGACTTCAAGATTTTTCAGCCTTTGCAGTCTTTATACAAATCAGTAAAATGATCATTGCACTGTTCATTTTATTTAACAAAATATGTACTAAAAGGTATTTTGACAACAAATATATATCAGCTGTAGCAGCATCATAAGAATTCTGGCATTTTACACATAGTCCACCAGGATGCGCCAACACAAAAGTCAGAGACTTCACATGAGATTTGGGCCATCTTGTGGGGGAAAAGCAGATTACCTTCTACTCGGAGTGCCCCCTCTGGTGGGGAAACATTTTTTTCAGGGATACAAACATTTTCAGAACACCGGTGGACGGCAGCCATTACAGACGAACGTGTTTGTTGTTGTTCGAGGAGTGGCCCAGTCACGCTAAAGTCATTAGTTCGCTATCATTACTGAGGTGCAGGAATACTTTTTTCACCCTTTTTATCACATCATGTCGCCTGCTTACTATCTCACTCTGACGCATGAAGGAGTGTCAGGGGTAAGCTCGTTTCAACTGCTTTTTACAACGTGGTCTCATTTCCGGACTCAGGTATTTTGTGAATGAAGTCGATATTTCAGTTAAAATATAAGTAAAAATATTTATCCGAGTACAGTACTACCCCCCAACTTCATGGATGATTTTATGGATTACAATTTACGTATTATACTTGAATAAATACGGTACTTTATAAAGTCAGTTGCACTGGCTTGGACAGCTTCACAATTTCCGGTCCAGGTCAGTTCGCAACATTTGTTTTAACCTACATGAATGTCAAAAACTTCCACAAGCTTCGTAAGTGAAGGGGTTGCCTCTTACAAAATCCGACCTAAAAGCCTGCATAGATTGCATGCAGTACTTACCATAAGGTGTCGGTGGGGAGATAGGGAAGGCAGGAGTGGGAGGAGCCATGTCGCTACCCGCCTCAACTCCACTGTCCATATCTGTCCCATGGGTCCTATAATTGACACTGTCACTTCTGTACAGAATGGTATGCTGCTGCAACAAAAACAAAACCAACATACATGTGACCTAGATTCCAGGAGAACATGACCTGATGTAGAAGATGTGAAAGAAAGTGCACAGAGGCAAAATCTACCTGGAGCTGAAGGGGCGCACAAGGGGAATATGTCCGCTGACCCCTGTACTCCTCCGCATCACCCCATCCGGACTTACAGAAGCCTGGATGATCCAGTACATCTTGCCCTTGGCAGCTTTGACTACGCATGACACCCGCTCGCCCATCACTGGGCTGCACAACTGCATACACACAAGTAGACAACAGGGACACGTTGATCAAATAATTTTTTAAGAAGATTCTTTTTTACTTTCAAGGAATTATTCTACAAAAAATACATGATTTTATTTTCCATCAGAAAGTTTTTTCTCTTACTATCAAACTTATATACTTTACTGTCATTTTAATTTAAACAGAGACCTTATATTCCCAAAGTTTACTATAAGCAGAAGACAGCTGAGGAAGGCCAAAGGTCTGACTGGTGAGCTAATGGAGGATGTGACGGTTGTGTGTTTGCATGTGTGTGGTTTCGGTGTCATGACTCTAAATGAGTGTCGCCACTCATCAGGAGGGTGTCGTTTTGAGCCCTCCCTGTGAACTTTGACCTCTGAGCAAAAAGGAATGCAAATTATGCAGAAGAGCTAATGCATAGGATTGTTAATCTCATTGTCTGGTACTAGCATAAATGATACACCCCCTGATGAATGGATAGTTAACAGAGCTTCTCCTTGCTCTCTTTTCAAATGATGCTCTTTGGAGAAGTGGTAATGAGTATAATACTGTTCTTACCAAGAGAAATAAACATTATTTGCTTTCCTCCCCTWCCACTGCACTCAAGCATGAATCTAACAAGACTTCAAAAGAAGAAATTAGAAATACATGTAGATTGTGAAACAACAAAGAATTGGTCATTTACGTAACTAAAATAAATAAAAAAGGCCATATATTTATATCTAACGTTCTAAATCCCATGGAAAGATGATTTCTGGATGTTGCACAAATACACTAAAAACAAATCCTAAGGTCTCGTTTACACAACGCCAATTTTGTGTGGAACCGCAGGTCTTTTCCTGTGGTCCAGCTAATTGAGTACATGATTCGTCACCCTGCCATGACCACGCCTTTCACTAAAATATCTTTGTGCTTGAAAGCAAGTGAGATCAAGTTCGTATCTGCGTTCTGACACAATAGCCTATATGCCATGGTCATTAATGACGTATTTCCGGTAAAATTCCTGCCACGTTCCTCGATTCCACTTCCTGGTTGCTGCCTTTGTTTTTAGCGCAAGCTCATAATACAACTCCATGAAAAGGTCACAAAAGTTAAAGCATCTGTGAGCTACTGGTATAAAACGCAAGTTCTGTTGTGTGCCATTGTGTCAACTAACCAGTAGGTACAATAGAATAGTTAGTTTTTATCCATTTTCCTAGAGGTGGAAAGGTGACAGCTGTGGATCATAGCTATACAGGCTAAATTTAGCTATAAGCTCACGCTTGCGTTTGTAATCGGCATTTCTAACCTGAGGATATTCAAGAGCCAACATCAGAAATGAGAAGATGGAGGTTACAAATGGGAGATGTACAATTATCCACTTTAACTGCCAAGACGAGAGAGGAAAAACCACCTCACAGCTAGGAGGAAGCTAACACACAGCAGCCAGGACAAAGGTAGGTGTGTGCATATGAGCGCGTTTGTATTATACAGAGTATGAAATGTTTTTAGGCAACTTTGTCATGAGTTTTATGCAAAAGTAAAAACTTGTTAGAGTGTATATTATAGCGTAAACAAAAAACGAGCGACGAACGAGCCTCTTGAATGTGACGTGTAGCCAATCAGAAAGGGAGGTAGCGTAAACACAGAGGGGAATCCAAAATACAGAAGACATAAAAAAACTGTCATGAATCACCAGAAAGTCTGCTGGATGTTGAAAGTAATTTGGAATTGTTTTTTCCTTTGTTAAAATAGTACACAAACAATCAATATTGTTCTTCATTGTCTCAAATGTTTATGTACTCAGAACTCACGTCTGATCTCTGGAAGTCATGCAAGAMTTTTCCTCTGACATCTGAACTCTTGTGAGATTTTACATCTGACATCTGAATATTTATGAAAGAAATCTGTCTGTGTGCACTGTAGGACCACACCTGGTATATCCATGATTTTATATCCTCACATGCTGTGTCTCTGTCTTTGAAAATGGGCCGACTGTTTTAAAATCTTGCAGTGTGACCCAACCTTCACGAAACAAACTATTGCATCACACGTGACAAAAGTTCAAAGATATCATCAGAAAGGACATTGTCTTACTATWTAGTGAAGCATGTTTTAAAGCTGAGTTTTCCAATCCTGAGTTTACAGGCTGCTTTCAGTTATTCTCTGCTAAACACACCTGGTTTAAACGTATAATTCATTACTAGGCTTGTCTGGAACCTGATGAAAAGCTGTTGGGGTAATTCATTCCTTTGTATCAGGTGTGTTAAAGCAGAGACACTTCTGCCAAGATGGGTTACATTATTTAAACATCTTTCATCCCCATTTACTGTACCGTCTAATACAAAACTTCAACACAGGCTTCAAAGCCAATCAACAAAATTAAAGCAATCCACCTGTTGCTCAACCTTTTAATTAAAAAGCTGAGTTTTGACATAACTGGAGGCAAAGATTTCAACTGTTTCAGGCGTCCAAATCATTATTCTTAGCTGCTGTTGGAGTATTTGGCAGAGGCGTGTTGTTAAATATGCCTGGGCTTGGAAGGCTATTCTTTCTGGTTCAATCGTCACAGCGATAACAACGCTTCCGCAGTTTTCAATGAGCTGCTGACGCTTATACATTCTAAACGTGTCTTTAGGGAAGTAGTTCTGCCTGTGCTACACAGTGGTATGGTGACATGTTGATTTTAGAGCCTTATATTTAGAAAGCTTTTAGACAGAACAGTGAAAACCTGGTGTTTTTCCTAAAAGCACACTTTCAGGAGATGAATTATCTTACCAGTGCTGACGGTGCTGCACATGCACTCGCCCACACTCATGAAATAACTGCAAAGCATGATTAAACTGGCCTAGACTATAAGCAAAAACAACAAGAGATTGTAAATGCACARGCCTCATCTACTTATCTTAACATTCAGGAAAACCGTCTTTGCCTGAAGCCATAAAAGCAATGGTACATTCAATGGTAGTCGGTTCATGTTAAACAAAGCTTTTGATTTTTATTCATAGTCAGTATGCAAGAATTTACTGCTGCTGTGTACTGGATATGAACTGCAAGTGGGTTTCTCTGCAGTTTGTTTGATGTTTACAACACTAGAATGAGACGTGGAAGGATCTGAGTAATTTTCCAGAACAATGGTCCAACATCAAAAAGACTAAAATGGATTTTAGCCTAAACTTCAAGGCTAAAAGTAAATGCAATCCCTCTGCCCAAAACATGTAACATCTGTTACTGAGAGTGTCACGTCTATGGCAGTTTTGAAACCTGAATAAATAAATAATCCAAGCACGCTCTGGGCAGTCCTCTGAGCTGAAATGTATTATGTAAAAATGTGTTCATTTTCTTCCCAATAAATCCTAGCAGAATTTTTGCAGTAGCTTGTGATAAACGCAAATGTTGTCATCTTTAGAATGAATTGTTCTGAAGGTTATGTAACGTCATGACATTTGAAAAACAGAATTGATAGAAAGATTGAATAGAAGTTATGTTTCTTCAATGGGGGGAGGTTGAAAATGTCAAGTTCTTACTTTATACAGATCCAATGTATTTGATGTGTTTTAGTGTATATTTGTATTGTATTGCTTTTATTTTTAATAGTAATGTTGTTTTTCTTAGTGTCTTTGGATTAGCTTTGTCCAATACTTGTCCTTATTAATTGTGTGTTTGTGTTGTATTTATGTTCTTGTATTTTATTACTTTTAAAACCTTTTTGCCAATCAAATCAATGCAGCATTAAATCTTGTCAGAGCAAACCATAATGGTTAAGGACGGGGATATGATGAAGACATCCTTCCAAGGTGAGGTGAAAASCCCTGTAATGCCCCATATGTTTCTGTGTGATATATTATAGCAGCAATGCATTAGCAGAAACATTGGTCTAAACTCTTTATCATTATTATATACGTATAAGTAGCAGTAAAGTGCATTTTAACTAAAAACATCACAAACAGACTTTGAATCTGTGCGGCCCAAGACATMAAGAGTGTGCTACAATCAGTTGTTCCAATCAACAAACTATAAATCAAGTCTAAAAAGAGTGGGAAAAAACTGCACCAACTAGACTATTTATCCTGTGAGACCAGCTTTACAAAATAAAAATGCAAATGCTAAATAACTTATTTTCTTTAAGAAACAGTTTAAATAAAATAACTCACATTACTGATTTTAGCATTAAAAAAAGAAAAAGAGTCTTGGCCCAAACTCTACAACACTAAGAAAGCTAAGCTATGTTAAAATAGCCAGTCTATTTCCTCTTACAGCATTTTTAATGATGCTTCTGCATTGATATGCACAGACAGGTAAGCATTTGGAATCAGATGAAAAAAAAAATAAAAAAAAAATCTCCGCCTGCAGGCTCACTTGTTCCCACTGTGGAAATTCCTGAGGCCTCACCATCCCCCTCCTCTTCTCACCTCCTCTGGAACCACATGCTYTGATTCATGCAGCAATGTTTTCTATTTGTCACTGGGTTTTAGTTCAACTACACCTAGTTCAACGTGATCACCTGTACGAAAACCATTCAATGTAGAAAAGTTGTCATCTTTGTAGCAAAATAGTTACTTGGTCAAATTGTACATGTCTGATAGCAGAAATACTTACAGTGGGTATCCATTGTTCAGATACACTATGCTGTATAACCCGTGTGCTTGACAAATCTAAATAAAATACTTATATTATTGCTATTAATATAAAACTTAGTCTTTAAAACCTAGTTTTTGCATAAGAATTAAAAAATAAAAGCAGACAGAAATGGGATATAGGTGCTTTAGACTCTTGATGGAGCTTGACATCAAACACTGATTTGTTTTTTTTATCTGTAATCTCAATGTGGAGTCTTAATAATCCAAAGGCAAGAAACATCAGAGTTCACAAAGCCTGATGATAAGCTGCTCATGCACCTTGCTGATCCTGCACTCAGATAGCTACCATACAAGTCTGGACAGCACTCTATATCGGCAGAAACACACTGCAAACATCTGAAAACCTGGCAAGAACCCTGCTATTTCTGCCACTCAAACATGCTGAAGGGGAGGGAGGGAAGTTGTGCTTTGTTCGGTCAACTCTACAGCAAATAAGAACAAAAGTTAAGGGTGTGAAGGACTTGTTCAATTTTTAAATATTCTCAGTGAGAAACAGAGGCAAGCAGCTTCTCTGGTTTCATAAAAACACATCTCTCTACGCAACCACACACACACCACTCAGACTGTCTGACTATCTTACCTGTCTGCTGTGTGTTTTTCAGGGCTGCTGATTTACTGTCGTTGAACCTGAGATTGACGCCGTTCGAACATTTGCCGGCTGAGCCGTTGACCTGCGTCGCACCGTTCCTCTTGGCGGAGCTGCTGCGGCTTGGCGCCGGCACGAACGTGGGATCCAGGTCCATGATCAGCTGATTGAGCTGATCGATGGAGTTATCGATGTCCATCGTCAGAGACTTGAACTCCTCGTCCTGTTTTTTGTTGCTGCTACTGTTCGTCATCGCCTGCTCTTTGTGAGGGGCGGAGCTTTTAATAGAGTCGTCCGGCGTGTCCCTCACGCAGTCTTGCGGTTTAGCGGGCAGTTGGCCGTCTTTGGGCGAACTCCTCCCAGGCTTGTTTCTAGGGTATTGCTCGGTTTCGTTTGCATCCTCGGGCATGTAGATAAACTGCTGCGCCGCAACCATCTGCTGCTGACGAACCCAGGACTGGGTAGAATAGCTGCCTTGCCTGTACACCTGTTGTTTGGGTGCGGGGGCGCTGCTGGGATTCGAAGACGCCACAGAGTTGCCCCTGGAGGTTAGAAAGGCTCTTTTGGCCTCTGCATAGGACCGCTCATAGTCCTCCACCGGGGGAGCGTGATGCAGGGGGTGCTGGTTTTGATGCTCCTCGCCTCCAGGACACCCAAAACCATCAGAGAGCAGAGAGTTTTGACTGCTCTTGTTGCAGGAGGACGACAGGGTCCCTAGGCTGTCCACGCTGTGCAGATCATGACCCGTAATGACGTAGTCGTCGAGGATATCCGTTTCCCTGTCTCTGGGTCGGGTGTCTCCGTTAAAGAGCGCTTGTGCTGGGATTGTCTGCTGCAAGCCCACTTTGGGGCCTTGATTATCCATCTCCTCCAGCGAAGGATCGTCAAGACCAAAACCATTAAGGAGCCATTTCAGTTGCACCTTCTCCTGCGGGCTGGGTCCCTGGTTAGCCTTGACGGTGGTTGTGGTGGCGGTAGAGGCGACAGGTGTGGGCCTATCTGCCCACAGAGACGTGCTAGACAGGCCCGAGTCACTGCTGACGGAGAGTGTGTGGTCACTGTGGTCAGGGCTTGAGGTGGCGGAGGTTGTGCGGGTCCCTCGTCCCAGTGTGGCCTCTCCTCCGCCGGCGGGGCTCCTCTTACTAGCCGCTTTGTCCTGGTTTAGGCTTTGAGGCCGTTGCGCTGCAAAATAGAAGAGATGCAGCGCTTCATACAGTCAGCCGGTATGGGCAACACGCAGAGACACACACATACACACACACACACAAACAGGAGACTCACAAAGACAAAGACGGGACTCTGTTAACACGACAGTCATGTCTGTCTGCTGTGATTGACAAGGACAACTTCTAATCACACCTAAACTTACGAAAACAACATTCCAGACAATACAGATAAACAAATAACCAGAACATGAAAACAACATGGCGAAACATTTATTGTGTCATTAAACTGAGAAAATCACCAAACCAAAAGTGGCAGAAAAAGTCTAATTTATGGGTTCAACTGTCACTGTTTCTGATAGGTGCCTAAAGTGAGCAACAGGCAAATATGTACAGGTTAAAGACAAAAATGTTTAAATTGTTTGCATGTTTTTACAAGAATAAGACGACGGGTCTCGTCTGACCCCTGCATTCCTCACCCTGCTGAGATTAGGCCACCCAACCCACTCTCACTTGCCCCTTGACCCCAAGCATATGTCCAAACAACCTTCTTAATCCTTAGAAGTGACAGAAAAAAAATCTGAGGTCAGTCTTTTATCATGGTAGTGGTGTAGGAAATCTGATTCCAATTTTCGGACTCCTGTAAAATGACAGGAAGAGATGGATTGTACATAACATAAATAGAGCCGTTTTCTGCCATTCACTTTCTGCTTGAACAGAAAAAGAGTTGGAACTTGACTTTTACCCTTGTGCCTCAAAAAAAAAACCTGCACTTAAAACCATGGCTGGAGGTTCCAAATACCAGACACGCATGATAAAAGCTCCCCCTCCCTCCCCCCTTTCTGCAAAAGCTCCCATTATGTATGGCTTGCTCCCCAGCCTCCATTCCACTCACACAAACTCGCATTGGGTCTTGAGCAGATCTGGTTCAGAGCTCATTGCAGGTCACTTCCATCTGGGGTTTCTCCCCAACAAATCCTTCTCGTCACATTCCATTTAGCAAAGTGCAAACTGGGTTTTAACCTTTTAATCTGGATTCTTGCCATTTTTCTCTGTCAACCCCTTAACATGAACACTCCCACCACCCCTCGAACCCATCAGCCCATGGCCCCTATACGACCACCCATTTGCCTCAAGAGGAGAATCTCGCTTACCTTCGCTGTCCCTGCCAGGTGAGCATGCGAGCCAACTCTGAGCTCCAGGTAAAAACAAACTGGCCGAGGAGGAGAGACAAGGCAGACACGTGAGAGTGGACGAGGCGTTTTGGTCCGCGGATCGTGGTGAGGGGCCAAGCCAAAGAGACTTTGAATAAGTTGGCCCGTTTTCTTTCTCTGTTGAGAAGGTGAGAGTGTTTGCACTCTACACAAGACAGAGGGGGGCGAGCTGGTGGGGGGGCTGGGATCTCCAAATAAGGGCAGAGGAATGTAAACAAGTGAGGCGGGGCAATGGCGCAGAGGCGGGCTGGAGGGAACCAGTAACCCGACCTCTTGCCCCTGTGTAAAAGGGGACTACCCCACTGGGGAGAGAAGGGGTTGGGTGTGTGTCAGTGGGCTGATTGGGGTGGGGGGTGTACAATGAAAGAGCGAGAACCAGAGGATGAAAACAACATTCCTGGAGCTCAAGACATATCCACTCTGTAAAAAGACACTTTGTAATTAAAGCAAAGATTAACTTCAGCCCAGAGCCCGAAGCAATTTTCATGAAAAATGGCTGCCAAGTTGTTTTTCTCCCACTCCTGTGTGTCAAGAAATAACATGCTTGCTGTCTTTATGCACAAACTAGACAGAAACAGATGTTCTTTAAATCCTATTAAAGGGAACTTAAAAAAAGAAGGATTTTAAGTAACTATCTGAATTACACTGACAGACCCATGATGGTTTACCAAGTATGTTCTTAGCTTGTGAACTTGAGAGAATCAGTCAAACCATTTCTATGCAGCATTCATCACATTGGTTGTCATGGTACATTCAGTTCCTGAATAAAAAAAATCCACCAATTATAGTGCAGAAGAACAGAAAAACCACAACTGTTCCCCAAGTTGCTCTGGAATCAGGAGGTCTGGTTGTGTACTGCTATGCAATTACTCAACCCTTTCCGTTTTGTCTCATTTACTACCAGTCTGCACCTTTTGAGTGCCAAAACAAAACACGTATGATTGTTTTTATTTTGTACAGCTCAATTTTCTACAAATATTCGAAGATTTCATTTGAATATTTATTTATACATTTTTGTTTTATTCGGACCAGTTCCTGGCTATGTACTCAGCTTTGTGGTTATACTTTGAGTTTAAAAAGTACGCCATTTAGGAGAATAAGAACATGAATCAATTTTTGTGAAGCTTATTCGCCCTTAAACAAAATTCATACTCTATTTCCCAAAYAGTTCAACTGTTCATGCCTATTTATACTCTAAGTATACTGGGCTGTTTTGCAGACCACTGCTAGAAACCTGGATTTTTGTGACTTTAGATAAAACTCCCATTCACAAGGTGGTGCCAAACACACAACAGATGAAAAAGACTGAGTAAAAACACTATCAAAAGAAGAAAAATACAATAAAATATATAATAGTGATTGAAGAGATTTTTATGAAGTCCATCGGTGACACTGGATGAAAAAAATTTAATGTGTGGCCACGAGATAATTTTGAGCTGTCTTTTTGTGAGTGATACAGACATTGTTGGAGTCCAGTTGTATATGTGAATATGCTGTTTTTGTGTTTAGTAGTTCAAAAGGTACCCCATACTTATTATTTTTGTTATTAATTTTTGTGTATGCTTAATCCAAAGTGTACACGTCAACGGTTAAATCTAAATGGTTCCGTTTTCATAGTAGCCTACCAGTTTTTATGAGATGACATTGGTGAATGTTGGTGATTTGACTTTTTACAACCCAGACTGCAGCAAAGGAGGAGCACGTTTTGAGCGTTGAGCTTCAAATAAAATAAAACTTTTTGTACAAAGACAACTCCAGTTGTCACCTGTGTCTCATAGCAGCAACATACAGTCTAATGCTAAGAATTACTTCATGCCTACAATAATTCATTTAATTACAATAAAATGAAATTAATTAAAGCTTGTTCATGTTAACAATCAAAAGTATTTGTATGAAAATAACTGCAATAACTTTCTGGCAGTGTATTAATTCTTTTTTTTCCAATGTCACCAGTCAGGCTCTGTAGGTTTGTAGTTATCCACAGGTAGATAAAATATCACTCAGGCACTACAAGAAAGTAACAGGGTTGAATTTCTAAGGAGAACCACTTGTAGTTCTTTTTCTTCTTCTTCTTTTAAATAAAAAGTTGAGAAACTAGTGCATTATCACCACGTGATAAGCTGGAATGTAACATGAACTGAAACTGAAACTGTGATGGTTAGAGGCCTATCTGTATTCATCTCCTGCCATTAATTTATCAGGGGATTTTATATCAAATGACAAAAAGGGGAAAAAAATCTAACAAGAATAGACTCTCTTTCATCTTTTAACTCCTTTTCAACAACTCCCTTGTATTTGGGTAGAAGCCAACATCTGTGAAAAAAAAAAAACTACATGCCCAAATATATATATACGAAAATTATGTGAAGACAACAACCTGCTTTATAAAAAAACAAAACTTTCAGGAGAAGCAGTCTTAAAAGAATCAACCTTTAATTCTCACTTTAGGATAAACAGACACTGAAACGAAGCAGAGCCATTTAAGTAAATAAAGATTCCTTTTCACAACTTTAGCACTAAAGTGTCAAAAGATATCTAGGCTTCCTCCTCCGTTACAACGAGCCGGGACAGTGTGCTTGAAGTAAACTGGGTGTGCATGAAGACCGCTGGTAAGTAGATGTAGAATTTGAACAAAGCTCCCAGTCTTCCCTCCTAYATGTGGTGTTTACACGAGAAAACAAAGCAGTAAACATCCCACATGAATGCTTTGGAATTGCGGCAATGCAAACATAGAAGAGAAAAAAAGTTATTTCTGGTTGATGTCTTCGCTTTAATTTGGTGAATTCTTACATTTGAGGGGTTGCGCTTTTGTTGTGTAGTGGGTAGACAAGTCAGGGTGGATGTGATGCGGTATTTTAAGTAAGAATTAAAAAAAAGGCAAGCTGTTTTCATCAAGCTGAACTTAGCCTATAAAAACACTCAATGAAAATGGGAAAAGGGCGGATTTCTGCTTCAGCGCTGCCTCTATTCTGAGAGGTTATTGTGAATTCTGTGGTTCCGTGGAGAGCAACAACCACAGTGAGGACGGGACGCCCTAACGGGGGTGGCTCTGAGTGTAAGTATAACGTGTGTGTGTGGCGGGGGGGCACGAGCGAGAGTGTGTATTTGTGTGGGATGGCTGAAGCATCCCTATTTATTTCGAGAGTCAACAAAACGGAAATCTCCTGAGAACTATCTGCTCTTCCTCTGAACCCAACATTCCTCACATAAAAACAACACTTCTCTGTACTTAGAAACAACACTCCTCGTCATTCTCATCACACCGCAGGCTAAGGTAAACCATAGCCTTCAGTTTCTTTTCTCACCATAATAAAAGGCCGCCTGCCAGTGCCAGCCAGCCTGGGTTTTAAGTTCCACATATAAGTAAAGTCCCTTTAACATCAGCTGCAACAATAACTAAGCTAGTGTTACTGGCGAGAAGGAAATCTCACTGAAGTCCCTAAGAAAAATSTCACACTGTTAATCCCTTGTGTGAGGAAGTAAAAAAAGAGTTTTTGTTTATGTATAAAAATATAGAGGAGAAAAGACAGAACGCTATGTTAAAAGGCTAGTCTAAACATTTTTGAGGTGATGGGCCTGTTGTGGGTTTCCTCCGGGTACTTTGGTTTTCTCCCACATACCGAAAACATGCATGTTTGGCCAAATAGTACTTTAAATTTTCCCTAGATGTGAACGTTGTTTGACAGAACAACAATTTAAGAAATGACTAGACTATCCTTTTAAATGTGTCGGAAACACCTGCCATAGACATCTTCACTTATAAAACATGCAGTGATGTTTGTGTTCATAGTGTGTGCCATCATGTAGACAAGGGATGGGCAACTGGTGGCCCACATGTGGCCTCAGGATAACTTCCTCCAGCCTGCCGATGAAAAAACATTGTGTTTTTTTTAAGTATGTACGTAAGTAAATAAATAAATCTTTTCTTTTTCTTTTTTGGGGAGGTTGACTATCTGTTCAAAGAATTTCAAGGCAAACCTATGTATTTATTCTGCTTAAAGGATGAAAGATTTTAAAGGGGGGGGGGGGATACTATGTATTTTCCAGGCACATGCTTCAATTCTATACTACAATCAACTAACTATGTTACCTTCAGTTGTTACGAAAAAGCAGTACATATCAAAAATAAAATTGACTTTGCATCATAGTCTATCTAAACGCTTTGAAACTAGCCTCTGTCTCTTTAAGAACCTGCTACTGTTTTGAACACTCCCACTTCCTAATGTTTTCAAACGATACTACGGGGGAAGGGTGCTCTGTGAGGCGGGAGCTCCGCTGCTTTCTGAGCTCCAGGGAGGGGCTCAGCTGGGGACAGAGCTCCATGGTGGAGCTATGTACAAATAGGCGGTGCTTTGTACCAGCAGGCCTTTAGGCAGCTCCACATGACTACCACAGGAGATTCAAGGTTATCTCAAACATGCATGAATGAGTCAAAGCAATACTTCAGGTACGGTTTTGATGAGGGAATGACATTATAACATGATATAAAGCTCAAAAGAGTTGATTTTGCATAATACCACCCATTTAATATGAGTCGCCACTACAACATGTAAAGCTAAAAATGAGAAGTGAAGTTGCAAGTACATAAACAACAGTGACGTTTTACCAGAACCACACAGAAGTCTGCACTCAGGTGCCTTATGTTGTTGAACTTCAGCTCACTACAGTAAGTATTTTTTTATTTTTATTTTTGCTTCAAACATGTAGTCATATTTATTAAACATGAGTTCAACTGTTATACAGGCAATGAAGCATGAAATATGTTTAATTATTGCACCGTATCTTGGTTTAATAAACCAAATATATAT